CACTCACACATGCAGAAACGCTGCGTCCGCGCCGCGTAGCCCACTGGAAGGCGCCAGGGCAATGCTTTATGAAAACTCGCCCGGGACGGGAATTGTTTTTTACCGCGGGTCTCAAATTCATAAACCACTGTCCGCTACGAATGTCCGTTTCTATTGTAAAATCTGTCAGACCAAAAAACAGGGAAAGCGAAAAATAGCGGGTTTTTTATAGAGCAGATTCTTCCCTCTTGAATTTAGTGGGGTTTTATAGAGAGATATGGCAGGGAAGTATTGAGTTCCCGGAATGTGCAGTCTGTAGTGTTTCCAAATATCAGAGCCCTGCACAAGGTAATCATAACAAACTCTCTGTTTCGCCTTTAACGGCGATATGTCAGAGTCAATAAATCTAGTAGAGCTATTGCCTTTAATGTGGTCAATGTAAGAACACTGTTAAGTGTACACGAACCACATTATAACCACTCTCTATCTACGAGAAAATTCACTAACATTAAGAATAAATATTATTAATAATAATAATAACATAAATTATTGTATGAATTTACTATTAAAAAAGTTTTCGTAAAAACTTGGAAATTTCTTGACTGATCTTTATTTTATTCAAAATGAAAGAAATATTATGCAGTTTTTATGAAGCCTCCAATTATGCATAGTACTAGATCTTATTTGAGCACACTTTTAAATAATTTTTAGCTACATTCGCGAAATTTCGTTCCCTTTTCCAATTTTTTTTTTCTGCATCCAAGGTTTTCCCAATAGTCTCCGACTTGCTATGTCACCAAAATTATCTCTGAATGGTTTGCCAATGTGTGAAAAATGTTCAAATTAAAATAAGTTAGAATACAATAAATTGATAAAAATTGTAATATGGCAATTACTTCGGTTGCAACAATGTCTGGTTTTGTAGTTAAAAAGTATTTTCATAAACAAAGATGTAACACGCGAATCATTCAAACGGTAAGGTTTTGAAGCGGATTTCGTAGTAAAGTTATAAACAGATAAAAAACGATCTGAACGGAACAGACTTCTATAACATTACAATGAGTGATCATCTGCCGTTTTCTAGTGTATTTGAAAAGTTTCAGTATTAAGACTACAAAGAGACTTCCTAGATTACTGGCCATCGTCATGTATAAGATCATGGTATGAAACTCTACCTAGGTGTCCATACACTAGGGTTTCAATACATAAATTAATAGAAGAAAAATAATGTTTTTTTTGTCATGGCGACTTGATTGTAAAGATTCTTGCGGGAGTGTGAAATATTTTAATAAACCCCAAAATTGATCAGTCTGAGCAGAATCTATGCAAATATTCCATTATTTCATTTTTCGTGTGTAATCGGTATCGTTGCTCATACTTTCCAAAATTCATATCGGATTCTCTCATCAATTAAGTCCATGCGCATGAAATTAACATTTATGTTACTGACATTAAATTTAGCATGAAATGTGTGCCCCGTGCCGCAAAAAGAGATCAGAACAACAAAAATATACGCTAGTTTTTTTTTTCTTCTCGAATACCTATTGTCATTGTATAGGTAATGCAGCGAATAAATTGAGGAACTCATTAATTAAATATTTGGACACGATAAAACTACCACTGCTCCCACATATTTACTACTGCCAGCAAACAGATTACACAAAAGATCATTTTCTGCATAAATGCTTTGAGAAGGACTAGCTAGTAAAATATCGGGGAATAATCGTGTCTCCCAGAGAGGAGTAGCGTAAAAAGCAAGAGTGGGAATAGAGAAGTAGACAGATAATATATTTAACTTCCAGTAAAAACCGAAACTCGACTTGACGTTACGTCGGCTACTCTTCACAGACCGTAGGCGTATTCTCACTACACATACATTTGTGATTACTGCCGAAGGCAATGAACGAGATCATTTCGAATTAACTAATTAATTACAACAACCTCGTTCAATATGGACGTTCTCATACTCCACACATGTACGAACCCATCTACTACGCATATGTGAAGCTAACTAACGAGCCTTTCCGAAACAAAAAGCAAAAGGGATCTCAATTAGACATTTTTTTACACTTGAAATATTTAACTTACAAAACGCGTTTTCACCTTCATACATGAAAAGATGTATAGTAAATTTAAACAAAAATCATCAAATTTCAGTTTCTAGTAAATAATGAGCTTGTGTGTTTGACACATTTGAAAACGTGCAACTTTAGCAGGTCGAGACTCAACTGAGCTTTTGTCTACGATAATAATACATATTCTCATCATTTCTAAGAAGAACATGTAGTTCAAATGCCGCAATTATTATCACTTATTTAATTAAAATTAAACATTAAATACACAACGTTTCTAATGAAGTCTTTATTAACTTTTCGAACATGTAAGTTTCCTAAATTAACCTACAGTGACGTGACGCTGAGATTGTTGACAGATTAATGAAGTTTTTAAAATCAATTTCTCCGGCTTTGATTCGTTGTATAGCACAAAAACGGAAGAAAATGGAATGTGTATTTCGTTCAAAGGTGATAAGGAGAAAGCTTGACTTTAATTAGTTATACATTGATTAAATGAAGTCTATGCGTTTCATGGTACGAAATGATCAAAAGAAAAATGAATCGTCCACCATCTTCATCCAATGATGCAATCCTTAGAATTCTTACCTCATTCATATTGCGACCCAACTGAGGTCTTTCTCTTATGAAGTGTTATTTATATTAATTTATTTAATAAATTAACAGCAGAATGAAAATTCTACGTTCCAAAGAAATTCCTCATTAAAAAGGGAAGTAATTTCTAATGACTGTGAAGCTTTGAAGCAAACTCACCCC